AAATCAAGATAATGGAAAGTCAAAGTGGGTTACTATAATATATCCTGCTATTTTTTATTTATTTTTCCCTTAATTAAAAGGATAAAAATAAAAAAGTAAATAATGAAGTGGAGATTGAGATAAAAGAGGGCATAACAACAAAACAGTGCAGATCAAAACATAACCATTTAAGCAGAATAGTGTTTCACCACAAGATAATCCTGACATAAAAGTAGTTACCATATTGTCTCTTTCCTTGAAATCTTTGAGTATAACTTCGTATACTATAGCATCAAATATATCAAAACAATGTAAAACCATTTAAGAGAATGACAGCATTACAGAGTATTTAGAATCAACTAACAGAAAATGAACAATGGTTTCTGTATAATCTCCTTATCTATAAAAGTTTTTGCTTATACTATCATACATAATAAAATCCAATAAGATACAACCTGTTTAGACCAATGGAGACAGAAGAACAAAAGCTTGATGAGACTTCAAAACAAGATGATACTAAATCAGTATTACCTATTAAGACATCATTTTCTCCAAAATAGCTGTTCCTATCATCCAATCTTCTCTGCCTCATTTCTGTTGAGCTCTTTTTCTGTCTTTTGTCGTCAGTTTGTCTTCTTCATTTTGTTTTCTGCTCCATTCATTGTGGCCTCTCTGCCACTATTTCTGGATTCTTCGTATTTTCCTTTTTTAGAATATCCTGCAGTATTCTCTGTAGAGTTGAATTGGTGGTTGCATATTCCCCTAGTTCCTCTTTATCCTGGAAGCACCTTGTTTTTCCATCAACTTCCAGGGATAATTGTGCAGTATATATCAATCTTGGCTGGAGATTATTATCTTTCAAAGCTTGAATTATTTCCCCCCACGCTCTTCATGATTTGATGGTTTGTGCGAGAAATCTGCTGTAATTCTGATGGGTGTTCCCTTGTAAGTGATCTGTTTCTTGTCTCTGACGGCTTTTAATATTCTGTGTTCTTGTATTGAATTTCTGGAATTTTAATTATTATATGCCTGGGTGTTGCTCTGTTTGCGTTGTAGGTGGCTGGGGTCCTGTATGCTTCATACAACTGAGTATCTTTACCTTTTGCTAAATTAGGAAAATTCTCCTGAATTATTTCTGTGAGTAGCTTTTGTAGTTCATTTGTTTGTGTCCCTACCTCTTCTTTTATGTTCTTAATTCTTAAGTTATGGATCCTCTTATCATCTTCTAGTCTTTGTATTATTGCTGTTTGTTTCTTTGTTACTTTTAAGAAGTTTTTCATTTCATCCTCCCATATTACAAATCTGCCCTGCAGTTCAGATAGTCTGTCTTTAGTTTCTTTCAAGCTGTATGCCAGTTTTTGATAGAATTTTTAGTTTCTTGGTAGTCTCTTTGAACCTGCTTCACGTATTCGATGCTTTCTCTATTTTCTGCCTCAAACAATTCTCCCCTCTTTTTCTGTTCTTCCATTCCACCATCTGTTTTTTCTTGAGTGGTGCTTAGCATTTCTCTAACTATTCTGCTTATTTCTAGCTTCAGGTCATTAATAACTTCATTCCTGAACTCATCTATGAGGCTCTGGAGATGGCGCTTTATGTCTATTGGTGTGGTGTCCACTATTGCCTGTTTCTCAGTGAACAACTATTTCTAAGATAATAATATGTAATCTATTAACTAGTGATTTCCTACTGTTTATTTTTTCTGAAATTCTGTATAACTTGTACCCTTTTTCTGTTTTTTTTTTCTTTTTCTCCTTGAATAAAAAAAGAATATAAAAAATCTAGAATACATAAAACAGATCCAAAGAGATTATCAGGAAAATAAAAATGCCATTGAAAGCTGGCAAAATGCCTCAACAAAATCTAAAGTTAGCCTTTCAAAATTTGAAGATAGACTTGCAATGTGTGATCATGAAAGAAAAGGCCTCTTAAAAATAACAAGGAACAAGAAGTAACAATACAAAGGCTAGAAGACAATAAGAAGATCTATAATTTAAGAATAAAAAATGTAAGCAAAGAAGCAGGAGTAACCCCAAATGAATTATAAAGGCTATTCACAAAAATAATTTAGGAAAACTTCCCAATCATAGGAAAAAGAAATGCTATCCAGATAAATGAGGCATAAAGAACTCTAATCAACTACAACCAAAACAGATCTACAACCAGACATATAATAGTCAAGATCCCAGAAATTTACCACAAGAACAAAACATTAAATGGTCAGAGAAAAGAAGCAGATTACCTATAAAAGAAAATTCATCAAAATAATGACAGACTTCTCAACACAAACTATCAAATCAACTAGAGCCTGGAATGAAGTAGTCCAAGCCCTGGAATGAAGTTGTCCAAGCCCTGAAAGAAAATAACCTCCAACCCAGATTGATGTACCCTGAAAAACTCTCTCTCAAAATTAATGGAGAAAAAAGATGTTTCCATGACAAGGAGGAACTGTGGGAGTTCGTGGTCACCAATCCAACCCTACAAAAAATACTGAAGGACATTCTAGAGAGAGATAGAAAAAAATCAGGATTCCAGCAGCAGTGGCAGAGAGGCCTCAATGAATGGGGCAGACAGTGGAATGAAGGAGAAAAGTGGACAAATAATAGCAGAAAAGTAGAATAGCAGAGATGAGGCAGAGAAGGTGGGCTATAATCTCTAGTATAGATAGCCTTGATATGCTAACAAAAAGAAACACAGGCAGAGTAGATCAGAAGATAGGATCCATCGAGATGCTCTGAATAGGAAATATACTCAGCCTGAGAGAGGATTAATAAACCAAAAGCCAAAGATGAGAAAATGATGCTCTATGTGACAGAGAGCCAGAGAGAAATAGAGACAACTCATCCAGCAGCTGCAGATAGGTTGGAAAGTCATGACACTTTTGTGCAGTTGAGAACTACTCAGCTATAAAAAAGGAAAACCTTGAGGCTTTAGTAAGTAAAGGAATATAGCTCAAGATCAAGCTCAGGGGTAAAAAGGTTTAACATCACTTAAATACATAATGGGTTCCCCCCTAATCTAAAAACTAAAGGAGTTAGTGGGACCCAAAATATACAAAGCACCCTGAGAAAGGGAAAGAGGAGGAACTGTCTAAAAAAAGGAAGGTAGAGGACATTGTTAATAGTGTATCAGGATTTAAAAGCCACATTAGTCTTATCATTCTGTTTAGTTTGATTTTATTTTGTTCCAGTCTGTCTACTCATACTAGATTAGAAGGCACAGCTATCCCAAAAATAGCAGGATATACCATGGTAAATATCCTTAATTCCCTATTAACTTAAACTGCATTACTTGGTAATTTGCAGTTACCCTGCATTACTTACATTGTCTTATTATGACTAATCTTATTTGAATATAGTTTGTTAGACCGCTGTTTTGTCTTGACTGATTTTATTCGAATTTGGTATGCTTGATAGTATCAAGTCTAAGAGTAGAGGCAACTACTCTGAAGATGACAAGATACAGTAAGATACCCATTCCAGTTTGATTATTAACTACTTTTGAAGTCCTACAGTGTCTCCAATGTTGTGTTTTTATTAAAATTGCCATGTAATGTTATGTTCAATTATATTATGTCTGATGTTGTACACAATTCTATTGAAAATAACAAGAGACAGCATAGTAGATCACCTAATATTGTGGTTTTATATGTCTTTTTCATTTCACATTTTTCTAGGAATTTGTTTTGCTGTCTTGTTTTGATCTGTTTTCCCCTATAATACAGAAAGGATAGGTATACATGTAGAGATTCACACAGGTGGAGAATTTCTAAACAGTTTACAGGAACAGATGATATAATGCGTGGTGTAATGAACAGATACTCTGAAGAAGAGACACTAAAATACCTAGTGCTAATTATGTGGCATTATGTTATAAAATCTAGCAATACTATTATTCACTATTCAGAGTGATATTAGTCTAGTCTCTTATGTTTAATTTCAGCATATGTAAAGATATGGACAGATACTTCAAAGAGAGCAAGAGACATTATGGCAGTCACTGTTGACTTCCCTAATGTCTGGTCTTGAAGATCTAAAAAGCCTTCATCATCCTGTTCTGATTAGTTTAGTACTATAATGTTCAGTATGTATTCACTGTGTGTGAAGATGCAAGTAACTATTTGGAAGAAAACAAGAGATATATGATAGACCATGAAGATCTCCAGTGGTCTTGCTTTGAAATTTGTGTTTCTTAAAATTGTTTCCTTATGATCTGCTTTGTTCTGTTTTGTTCTATTTAATTTTACCCTCTTTAAAATAAAAAAGACAAACTTTAGGACATAAATACTCTAATTCTTCTTCATTCACACCTTCCATAACCTTAGATTAAAGCTCTGCAAACATCCTCATGAAAACAAGAAAAGTACAAGGAATGGTGGAGCAGAGTATCCAAGCCAAAAAGCCCTCCCCTAAAGTTTTAGGAATCACCGAGTTAACTATAAGGGTCTCCATTATATATCTTTGATACCCAGAGAGATGCTGCTTTCACAGATCTTCTTGAAAGGTAAAGAAGTCCCTAGTTCTCTCAACCCATCCATTTAGATCCCTGGATTCTCAGCCCATTCTATCCTTTTCCTACTGCACATTCCCTCCTGTCACATTCCATCTACACTTCAAAACCAGCTCGAATTCCAGCTGTCCTTTAAACCTTTCTTGATTTTTTCCATGTCCCCTCAAATATAATTATCTTTCCTTTTATAAAAGCCCAGGTTACATTTCTAATTCTTCTCCAGCTACTTATGATACTATTCCATACATTATAGCTGTTTATTAATGTTGGTCCTGATTCTTCTATTAGTCCTTAAAAGATGAGACCCTTTTAGCAACTTTGAATCCCTCTGTGGTTTCTTTAACTTACTAGATGATCAGTAAAAGTGTGTGGAATTGCTACCAAAAATCCTTCTGTAGTAAGTTCAGCTTACTCTTTCAATGGAGATGGAACATAGCTATGAGCTATGACTTTAGTGTCCACCCACCCACCCTATTTTCTCCCTTTCCTTGTAGAAAAAAATACAGCCAAACACTCCAAATCAGGGCCTTTATTCAGGACAGAAGTGGGATTTGTTGGTGTAGTTCAAGGGCACTGAGTGTCTAATGTCCAGTGCACCAGTCATGCATCCTTAGACAACAGTCCTCAAGAGCCAAACAGTGTCACTACAGGATCCAGGGCTCAGAGACAAATCATATTCAGGGGCAGAAAAAGGTAAACTGGGGTAGCATGAGGGAAGAGGGGTTCTGGGTGTATGGGAAGAGCAGGATTGGCAGATACATCAGGTGCTCACTGTGCCTCGCAGTACCACTGCTCCAGCTTGTCAGAGCACAGTGGTTTGTGGGCCAACCTGGTAATGGAGAAAGGATAAAAGTGAGTTGGCTTTCTGGGACTTAGTTGGAGTTTCAGATGAATTTAACTTCATCCTCAGGAGAGGCTAAGGGGAATGAAAATCACCAAAAGATTTTCCTAGATGGCAAGGGATCCTCGGTCATCCAGAAGAGCAGGATCCATTTTTTAAACCCAAGAAAAGTGTAGAGTAGTTGTAGCCCAAGATATGCAATGATACCAAGGGTATGTTTTAGTGTATAAGTTTAAATAAGTAGTGTTAGAAACCCACAGCCAGGTGAAGAGAAGTCTGGGTATTAACCCTCCACTAATACCTTCCTTGTATTAGAGAAGTTGTCCATATGAGAGCAGAGCAAGGGAGACTTAAAAATAGAAACCTGAGACTGAGAGATGACTTTTGTTTTGGACACTATATTCCAGATTAAATGCTCAGGAGATAAAGGACAGAGGATCAAGAGGGTAAGAAGAAAAGGGGTAGAGGAAAACAGAAAATAAAATGAGGACTCACCAGTAGTCAATTCCTTTGATATCCAGGATCTTCTTGACACACATTATGTCATCAGTAAGGTCATCATCCAGGAGCTCTGACAAGAGTTGTAAGGAAAGGAATGAGAAAGCTAAGAAGTATTACCCAGAGAGACCATGAGTTCCCCTGTTCCCTTGGTCTAGTTCTCTGAAATGAAGGATTATACCCAGGATCTTTCTATCTGAAAAGGTCAATATAGTAATGCCTATCCATAAGTAAGTACTTTCTTCAATTCCTTGGGACATCTCTCGAAGGATCAACTCTATCCACTGAGACCCAGAAAATGCAGAGTATATGACTTCAACACTCCCAGAAAATTTCTAAATGTCTACCACTGAACTTCAAGGATATTTGGTCTTGGTCTTTGATGATTGTAAAAAAAAAAATATCTTCTTACTTAGCAATGTTACTCTCAGTCACACTAACTTTATGGATTCTAAACAAGGCACTAAATCTAGAGTTACACTTGATCCCAGAAAAGAGATTACCCAGTAAAAAGTTCCAGAAAAAGCTGGGGAACAAAGTAAGAGTCAACTTACTGTCGCAGGAAATGTCACAAATGTTCCTTGATTGAACAGTCGTGCTGCTCTCACAGAAATCTTTATCATTTATCTGGAAAAGTCCGTACTCTTTGTGGTCACTATTTTTCACTATGGCTTGTGTGTCATAACCACTGATATGAAATATGATACAGAGCCCTGGAAAAAATATGAGAAAGAAGTATCATAGAGACATCTAGGATCAGCATAAATAAGGAACTATAGTTCACAAAATGGGAAAAAATGTTTCTAGTCAATTTCCAAAGGATATGACAAAGCATAGACTATCTTGATGATCTGAAGACAGTTTCAAAAAGCATCAGACACTGGCAGAAAAGATAGGAGAACAAATTGAAAGAAAGAGTAGAACATAAGCTGAAAATATCAGAAAATTATTAGATAATGAAGAGAAAGTGGAAGAGAGGAGATGAGAAAATGTGGACAGAAGAGAGACAGACAAGAAATGGACTGAAATGATGGAATAGAGAACTCACATTCAGGCAAAGTGATGTCTCGGTAGCCGGCAAGGTCGTTCAACTCATGAGACAGCGCACATTTGGTAAGTTGCTTGGCCTGCACGGCAGGAAACAGGATGCCCACCAGCAACAGAGGGAAAAAGGACATCATTTTGGCTGCTGCTGTGAACCTGAAATGCAGACAGCTCTCAGCTTCACCTCCTTTTATTACTGGAGAACTCTTCAAGAACACTCGCACCAAGCCTTACATCCAGGAAGAGGATGAAGACAGATTAGTCATGCCAAGATAGACTGAAACTTGGCAGCTTCCTTCCATAATTTCATCCTACTTTTCCTCCCCTCCCTCAATATCTAGTCAATACCTAATATTGTTCTCTACCTCTGCTAAGTTCCAAGAATAATTCTGTTTTCCCCCTTGGCTTTGATTATACCTTTGTTTCTTACAGGTCTAGTTCTAGGAAACAGGATGTCCCAAACCTGTTCTAGGAACAAAAGAATCTTCAGGGCAAATACAAATGAGGCAATCATAAAGTAAAATAAGAAGCCCTAGCCAATTCATTCTTCCCCCCAAAGACATACAGAATGTGAAAAGGAGATGTATGTCATCACATCCCAGAATCAGAGTAGGCACCTATGCAGCCAACTCATTCATGGAACAAAGTCCAGGAAGAATCTCTTGATATGGTGCTTCATGGCTAAGGAGATTGAATAGGATATCAGAAAATGGGAAGAAATCCCTTGCTCTTGAGTAGGAAGAACCAATAGTGAAAATGGCCATGCTTTCAAAATCATTATACAGATTTAATGCAATTCTGATTAAAATTCCAAGAGCATATCTTGCAGAATTAGAGAAATTATAAAATTCATTTGGAACCAGAAGAGACCTATAATAGTACAGGAAATTATGGGCAACAAAGACCAAGAAGGGGGCATCACCCACCCTGACTTGAAATTATACCATAAAGCTACTGTGATAAAAACAGCATGGTACTGGCAAAAAAACAGACCCAAGGAATAGTGGAACAGGTTAGAAGATACAGAGACAACTCCAACACACTCAGCCCCTTTATTTTTTACAAAAAAGCCAAACACCTTTGCTGGAAAAAAGCCTCTTTAGTAAATGGTGCTGGAAAAATTGGCTTTCCACATGCTGAAGATTAAAATTATACCCACATCTTTCACCACACTCTAAACTAAAATTGAAATGAATCAAAACCTAAGTATTAAAACAGAAATGTTAAACCTGCTGGAAGATAGACTAGGTAGAACTCTTGAAGACATTGGTATAGGCAAAAGACTTCATGAACAAAACTTCTGTTGCATAGAAACGTTCACAAAAAATCAACAACTGGAAGCTCATCTTGTTAAAAAGCTTTTGCACAACAAGAGAAATCACCAACAGAGTAAATAAACAGTCCACAGTGTGGGAAATATTTTAGCTAATTGTTCCTTGAACAAAGGACTAATACCTAGAATATATAAAGAACTCAAAACATGAAGAGCCTCAAATTTAAAGACCCACTCCAAAAATGGACATCTGAAATGAATAGGTACTTCTCAGAGGAAGAAATAGAAATGGCAAATAAATATATGAAAAACCGTTAAACAGCACTGTCATTTACAAAATGCAAATTAAAATAACGCTGCGGTGCCATCTCACCCCAGAAAGAATGCCAATTACAAGAAAGCAACAAATGTGGTGGGGCTATAGAGAAAAAGGAGCCCTTCTCTGCTGTTGGTGGGCAGGTAGACTTGTGAAACTACTGGGGAAATCAGTGCGGCAATTTCTTAAGAGAGAGAGTGAGAAAGAAACTAGGATTAGAGGTCCCATTCAACCCAGCCATTCCCCTTCTGGTATCTTCCTGAAAGAATTAAAAGTATCTCATCACAGTGATATATGAACACTCATGTTTATACAAGCACAGTTTGTAAAACCCAAACCTTGGAAACAACCCAAAGCTCATCAAATGATAAATGGATAAAGATGTGATTTTTTAAATTTTTATTTAAAGAAAGACTAAACAAAACAGAAAAGGGGTAGAAATAATACATACTTTCACAGAAAAAATAAACAGTAAGAAATCACTAGTTGGTGATTACATATTGTCCTCTTACAAATAGTTGTTCAAGATACAAAAGTGAAACATACAAAGTGGGGATTCAAATAGCGAGACTGCAAACAATTCTGTTCAACTATCCAACAAAACTTAGTAATATGGTTATCAATCCTATATACTTAAACATACATGCAGTTATCCATATCTTCATTTATGTTGAGATTAAACAAAACAAAGCAGGCTAAAATCACTCCTAACAAAGAATAATAGTATTGCTGGATTTCACATCATGACACTACGGGATCAGCACTGGGTACTGTAGTGTCTCTTTTTCTTCAAATTATTTGTTCATTTCATCATGTGTTAGAAGATCAGTTCTTGTAAACTGTTTATAGGTTCTATGTATTTCTATCCTTTCTGTATTAGAGGGAGAAACAAAACAAAGCAAGACAAAACAAAATGTATTCCTATAAACACATGAAATGAAAAAAACATATAAAACCACTGTACAAGGAGTTCTACCATAGTTACTGTGTTGTCTCTTGTTATCTTCAAAAGAATTATCTGTATCATCAGGCATAGTATAATTGAATATAGCAGTATATAACAATATTAATAAAAACACAACTTTGTAGATAGTGCAAAACTTCAAAAACAGAGTAGTAATAAAACCACAATAGGTATCGTAGTGAATCTTGTCATCTTCGGTATAGTTGCCTATACTCTCAGATGTGATACTATCAATCATAACAATATTGAATAAAATCTGTCAATACCAAACAGCAATCAAACAAACCAGATTTAACTAAGATCAGTCATGATAAAACAGTATAAGTTATACAGGGCTCCAGATTAAGCTAATAGGAAGTTAAAGATGATTACTCTGCTATATCCTGATGTTTTGGGGATAGCTGTTTGTGCTCTCAGACCTAGTGCAAGTGGACAAACTGGGACAGAGTAAAATATATCTAAGCAGAGCAGAGTGAGTAATATGGGTTTTAAATCCTGATACACTATTAACAATATCTTCTGCCATCTTTTTTAAGACTATTCATCCCCTTTTACTCCCCCAGTGTGCACTGTTCATTTTTGGGTCTCACCAACACCCTCAGTTTTTAGAATAGGAGGGCAACCTGCTATTTACCTAAGTGGTTCTGAACCTCCTCCCTCCTGCACTTGATCTCTAGTTTTATTCTTTTACCTAGTAAAGCCTGTCTTTCCAACCTATCCACAAATACTGGTCTAGTTGCCCTATTACTCTCCGGTTCCCTGTCACATAGAGCATTGTTTTCTCATATTTGATTTTCAGTCCATATACCCTTTTTCAGGTTAATTATATTTCCTATACAGAGCATCTCAGTGGACCCTCCTTCCTGATCTACTCTGCCTGTGTTTCTCTTTTTTTCTTTTTCTTTTTTTATTTAGTGCATCAAGGCTGTATATATTAGAGATTACAGCCAACTTTCTCTGCCTCATTTCTGTTGTGCTCTTTTTCTGCCATTAGTTGTCTGCTTTTCTTCTTCATTCAACTTTCTGCTCCATTCATTGAAGCCTCTCTGCCACTGTTCCTGGAATCCTGGTACTTTTCTCTCTCTCTAGAATGTCCTTCGGTATTCTCTGTAGAGTTAGATTGGTGGTCACGAATTTCCCAAGTTCCTCTTTGTCTAGGAAGCATCTTGTTTCTCCATTAATTTCTAGAGACAGTTTTTCAGGGTTCATCAAGCTAGGCTGGAGGTTATTTTCTTTCAAGGCTTGGAAAACTTCACTCCAAGCTCTTCTTGATTTGATGGTCTGTGCCAAGGAGTCTGCCGTGATTTTGATGGGTTTTCCTTTATAGGTAATGTTTCTTTTCTCTGATGGCTTTTAATATTCTGTTCTTATATTGAATTTCTGGGATTTTGATTATTACATGCCTGCGTGTGGCTCTGTTTTGTTGTAGGTGGCTAGAGTTCTGTATGCCTCATACATCTGAATATCATTCTCTTTTCCTATGCTTGTGAAGTTTTTCTTAATTATTTCTGTGAATAGCCTTTGTAGTTTCTTTGTTTGTACCCCTGCTTCTTCATTCACATTCTTTATTCTTAAGTTATTTATTCTCTTGTCATCTTCCAGTCTTTGTATTGTTACTGTCTGTTTCCTTGTTATTTTTAAGAAATTTTTCCTTTCGTGATCCCTCATTGCAAACTTGTCTTCCAGTTTGGATAATCTATCCTTAGTTTCTTTCAAGCAGTTTTGCCATGTTTCAATGGAGTTTTTAATTTCCTGGTAATCTCTTTGAACCTGCTTCTGTGTTTTCTTTATATTCTTCATCAAATGAATCTCTCCTTTTTTTGTGCTCCTCCATTCTTCTGTCTATGTCTTCTTGAGAGATACTTAGCATTTCTTTTATTAATCTCCTTATATCTTGCTTTACTTGGTTAAATATTTTACTTTTAAACTCGTCTATGAGGTCCCAAAGATATTTTTTTATGTCCACTGAAGCCATTCTGACATTGCATGTTTGCTGTCCTCTATCTCTTTTGCATTTACCTCTCCTGGATCAGTATTCTCAGGGTTGGGGGCTGGGGACTTTTTTGTTGCTTCCTCTTCTCATATTTTTTTTTGTTTCTTCCATACAGGTGTATAGAACAGGTCCCAGTCCCTTTCCTTGTTGGTTATGGTTCTTCTGAAATACACTGGCTAGGTGATCCTGCCCACTCCAATGTGTTATTTAGGTGTAAACAGGGGGCAGCATAAGCTGGCTCTTCCTCTCTGGGTCAGTCAACCTGCTGAGGCCTTCACTGCATTAGTGTGTGCTGCACATAGGGAATTGATTTGGGACAACTTATTGGGTCTCAGCCAGGGACATGTCCCAGGCTAAGCATATCCCACCAATCTCATCTGTGAAGGGAACAACTACTGAAGTCACTGCTGTTCCTTGTTCTTGCCAGTCCTGCCCAATTCCAAAATGTCATCCCGTTGGTGCCTCTTTCCCATGGAAGAGTTTTATTCCTGGCACTTATCACAGGTCAATCAGGTCCCTTGCTGGCTCTGTTCTCCACTAGGCTTGTCGACCTCTGACTTCAGTTCTACTGCACTTCAATGAGACTGTGGTTCCAGTGAGTCAAAGCAGTGGGAATTCG